TTTTCTGGGTTCGTACAGCTTTCTCTTCTTCTTCTTTTTCACGGGCTTTTCGCTCCTGCTCCATTTCCTAGAGGGAATTAACTTGTGGCTAAATCTATTTAAAACATACCTTCATATGATGAACATCATCTTCACTGGGCTCGTACATATGCCAAATAGTGTAATGAGGCAACCCAACCACAGAAAATTTCATCCGCTTTGCCATCTAGAAAAGTTATAGGATCAACCTGTTTTCCCATGATTTATTCAGAACTAACCTTTCCTAGCCCTTCGGTTTCAGCATGCTTCTCGTAGCTGAAGGCGGGAAAATGGACTCCATATCTAAAGACTCGGGCTTTAGCAAGAATACTCACACCTCCCACACCATCAATGTCCATTTCCATGTCAGGGTCACCGTATGGATCTCGTAGATAAGCTAGATGTGGTCTCCATGTCGCATATTCTGCGTATCCTTCGACAATAACTGCATCCTCGTCTAGAGTTTCGGCCAAGGCTAGTGCGGTCTCTGATTCTTGCCATGAATTCAAATCATATGGCTGCTCTCCGCCAAGCCAGTCAGGCAGTGGTCGCCATACATCTAGCAAGTTTTAGTAGATAATGCGCTTCCCATTCTCAAACATGCTCACTCGGGACTATGATATCTCGATTGTGTCGCATCAAATCTTCGAGAATCGTAAACGGAGCCGTCTCAACATCCACATCACGCCAATAGACCCAGCTATGCGTCGGTCGAAGTGAGGCGCTTAGCAGCCAGTTCCTTGCTTGTGCCATCAACTTTCTCCGGCTAGCTTGAGCTGCAAACCCATGCCTACTTTCAGCATCTTGCTTAATTTTCTGTCCAAAATCTTTTTCAATTATTGACACCTCTCCAAAGGGCTGCTTGGGATCATCATCGGCCTGGAGTTCCTCTAATAACTCCGTAAGACGTTCCAGAGTTCTGTCATTCGTATCGGAAACCAGGAATGCCAAGTCAATTAAATGATGAGGATACGTTAGGTTTCGCAGATGGCTAAAGAACATATTCAAATGTGACTCGGCCTCTCGTAAAGGTGCGCAAAAGAGAATGCGCTCCTCTCTCTCCCAGCCTCTCGCCGATCCTTGAACGTTTGATAGATCATAATATCGTAGATTTTCAAGTTGAAAATTACCCTGAGAGGAAATAAAGCCGAAAGATAGTACTGAAAATATTGAAGAAGTAGGCCATAAGAAGAATATAAACAATAATACCACACTCAGGGCCACCACTAGCTTAATCAGCGTCTGCCTTCGTCGTCGAGCGGTAGATGAAGTCCTGGGTTGGTATCTATGCACAAATGAATTGTCAGAAATGCCCTATGTTGTTTTTCTCTTTCCTGTCTATGTGGTATGTGATGTCGATAGCTTACCTGTGCGGGCTTATTTGATAAGTGTTCTTGCCCAAATCGTACTTTGATCGCGGATAGCCAGTGCCAGCATTGTGACGAGGTAACATCTTTGATCAGAAATGTGATAGGAGGTTGGGTGGACTGATATTGTCCTGGGATGATTGCAGGATTTGGAGCTTGCCAACATCTAGACCCCCGGTCTCTTGGAGCCGTGACTCCGCCCTCTGAACTGAACTGGACCGAGGCGGAAACAGTGTAGATTGAGAGTCCACTTTTAAATATAGATTGTTTACTTTTGACGACCCGGAAAATGTGTGGTGCAAGAAATCAGCTGTGTCAGGGGTTATATCACTGCCAGCAGAATTGTTGAATTGAGACATGACAAAATTGGCGACGTTGTGTGGTCGTACCTGAAGCCTTGATAGGATAAGTGGCCCTCTGGTATACAGGCTGGACCGACTTTGTTAGCTGTATATTTGTGGCCTCGTCTCCTACTGCACCAAAGTGACTATACTGGCTGTTCCTATCCAAAATAGCCCAATAAACTCCAAACATCATCCCATAGAATATTCTGATTTACTCGACTCTTAAATATACAGATCTCATATTTGAGTGCAAGTGATACCATATTGTTCGTTAGTCGAGGTAACGTGCTGCGATATATATGTATATATATTTGTTTTTGGTTTTTGCATCAGTTGCTGCGATATAACCATAGCGCAACTGCGACAAATTCAAATTAAGACATTGTCTTACCGGGGAGCGAAGACCATGGTCCACGATTACTGTTAAAGATAGAACAAAGTTAATAATCGTTGATTATTATATATCAACGTTGGAAGACGTGACTAACCTCAAGATGCCGTTCAAGAGCTAATTTATAAACACGGAGCTGATCTGGTGTTTTTCATAAAGCTTTGCGTAATGAAAAACTTCAATTTAGTCTTACAAACTCACATCCAACTACCCCATGCCTTTTGTAGCCTCACTTCCCGTACGATACTGCCACAAGTGATGACTTACGTTTGTAAGAGGTTTGATTCATCCGTTCTTCAGCCAGCCGTAGGCTTATGGGACCTCTCAAAAGTCTACATTCATCCCAGCAACAGGCAGACACTTATATTCTAAAACGCACGAAACGCTCTAACCGGAAATATTGGCCATGATCAAGGTTTCCGACCTCAAATTACTATCACAGCTACTCCGATTATTGTTGGAGTGCGCTTAAGCATCCTTAACTAAATCTGAGACCAGAATTCCTGTAGTCATTCTACGGAAGCAAACTCTTTGCCATCATGAGTAGACGGATGTGTAGGTTTATTGTGCTAGTTGATTCTGTGAATATCTAGCATATTGGGCTCCTCTCTGACCTAGGCTACACCCTGTACAGTGCTCCTTGCCTCTCGTGTTTCTTGAAAGATCATTGATATATTTCTCGTGATGAATAGCCATTCAGCTCAGTGATTACCTGTGGAATTCGGCCACCTTTTCCTCGGAACCTTCCACCCAAAAAAAAAAAAAAAAAAAAAATGGTAGCAATGGAAACTGCATGCGCAGGAAAAAGTCTCAAAAGACCTGCAGCCCCAGCCAGGCGAGGCCTAGACACCGGGACCACTTAAGATGAACATATTCATATACGTCCCCCTTCTTTGTGACAGTCGAGGCCGACTTGATCCAATCCGCCATCACCGTATCAGGTGCTGGGTACGCTCCGGAAACTCATGGGATGGCTTTTCCTCCATGATCAAGGGTTTGTGATGAGTAGGGCTCCGACCCTACCATCTGATCTGATGGTGTTTAGCTTCATGATAATGGTGATAGTGGGATGTGTTGAGAGATGAAGACGATACAGAAGGCGAAAGTGAATAGGAACGATTTTCAAAGTGAGGACTTGGTTACTCAATCTCAGCTCTGCAGACTCTTCAGTGAGAGCTTGAGGTTTGTAGGGCACCACTGACAGGTATTGAGAATAGTCATCCTCTGTGAGCCGGGGAGAAAGGATGATTCTGTGACTGGCTAAGACTTTCGACCAATGCACGAAGGCAATGTTACAATTATATATTTAAATTTTCTGTAAAGGGCTTAAGAACGGCGTTAGGAATACCTACAGTATAATCTATATATCTGAAGATAACTTGAATCTGGTGTTCGATGATTTTGATCTGGCCTTTTGGCCGAGTGATTTTTTTTTGCATCAGATTTAAGTGCGTATGCAGCTATCTAGCTATGACACTATATCAAAGAAAAGTACAGAATAGATGATTAAACGTAAGGAAAGAGCACTCATGCCTCGGATTTCATTTGCAAGTACCACTGCGAAGTCATGCCGGCTTTTTCTTCACCAACAGTCAATCCTCATCCGTGAATACCCACCCAGGGGGACGTCTCAAAAACCCTGAGTTATCCAGACATGCCTTCGTCATCCATCAGATTTTCTCCGCGCGAAATATAATCTGAGATGTCTCCTTCCCAATTGGAGTAGGTGCCCAGGCTACTCAAACTATACCGGAGAACAGTTCCAGGAGGCGGAGCACCACATCTTCCATCGTCGGCTTGTCTTTATAGTGTCAACTGCACCCTTGCAACTTAAGTCTTGGCGCACACAAAGCCTAATTCGTAAAACTCCTTGCCAAAATTCGGAATCTCTAGCCCTTCAAGGTTAAATCCTTCCTTTGCATCATCTCGTCAACTTGTCCTGATCCCTCTCACGTCCATCCCAAAGAGCTATCTCCCAGATTTGTGCGCCACGCTTTCCTTCCTCCGTCGGGTATAAATATCGGCGTGGGCGTGTATTTGGTGACCAGCTGAGGCCAGAGAAAGTCGACGAGAGGTGTGGTCATTGAAACGAGGATGTACTCGGTCGTACTTGTAGGCTTGATGGGGCTTGCATAGGATTCCAACCCGATGGGAGCGAAAAGACGGCGTGGTGGAGTAATTTAAATCATTGTGTCGTGGGCCAACTTCTTTGATAATGCAAAATTTGGCTGGACTTGGCTCTGGGAGAATATTTCACTCCTAGGTTCGTAGAAGACACCGCGTACAGGTGTTCAGCCTTGCCCTCCAATCTGTGTTGTTAAGTCATTGCGTCTAGAGCGCATTATAGGTAGTCCTTGTAATTAGCTAGGCCCTATATTCCATCCCTGCTGTACCTGCGTAGACAGTACAAATCCAATGGATAAATCCCATGATATTAAAAAATATTTTGACAGGGCAGTTCCAGGCAGCAAAGGATGTTGAAACGCTACTAGTGGAGGGAAGAAACAGGCCGAGAATTGCTTGGGATGAAAAGAATGATGCAATAATCTTTATCCCATGTTAATATTGTCATTCATAGACACCAGCATAGGCCTGAAAGGCACCAAATAATTATAATGTGTGAGGGGATGCATATTTAAATATAGTCAGCTCTAGTTATGCAGGCATTCAAGGTGATCCGTGCGTGGATACACATAAGAAGGGCGGTTTTTCTGGATGAAACTAGACAGAGAATCTTAGTGATTTAGTTGTAATACAAGATTGAGCCAATGACGTTTACATAATGAAATCAAACCAATGCAAATATTTGCTACCAATTTAGCCTTTTCCGTTGTACATAGTATATTTCGGGAGGAATTTAGGCCTTGGTTTCTAAGAAATTTACGGACTCGAATTCTTCCTAATTTTCGACTTGCCTTCCTCTATCCATGTATCCAAAATAAATTCACCAGCTTCCACCAATCTGACTGGAACACTTCTGACGCCTCCCAAGTCATGTCCAATTGTCTGACTCTGATGCTGACTTCCCGTCTGAAGACTTGGTTCAGAGGGTATCCAGGGTTGAGGATTCCCAATGGGTGGCTCGGCTTTATCTCGTAGCTCCAAAGCGACGGTGTATGAACAATTATCTGGTAATGGTGATAGACGACTACAGGCATAGTCTAGCATACGAATGGTAGCACGCAGCTGTTCATCAACATCGACCTGCGGAACTCCTCTCATTAAAGCTTTTTGATCTTCGCGTGCCTCCCCTGTTTCTCGCGCTGCAAATTCGAGGTAAGCATCATTTGGATGGACGATAGGGAAGCGCTCGAGACTGAAAATAATCCGCTCCATTACTTCGGCCTGTTCATTGAAAATAACGAAGACAACGTTTTCCACCGATCCGGCAAGGACCATTGGTGTAAGATGTGTTATGGTATCATTAATCCATCTACATACAAGCGGGTGACGAGATTGCCGTACAGGGAAGTTGTATGCTCGCGTCAAGATGAAAGTAGAAGAGGGATAGATGGCGCGCTGATACAGGATTGAGTGAAAAGCAACAGTGAGAAAAGAAGTAAGTGTTTGGGTAAGAGAAAGGGATGTAGTTAGAAGGGGTGGAGCGCTGGCTGCCATAGAGGACACGATTATCTTTTGCGTGGCAAGTATGCGGTGGGTGATAAGCTACATAAAACTTCAAGGCTAATTTTGAGCTTCCCGCACAGCCCTGGTGTGAATTGACTGTTCCCTTCAAATTTTCTGGCCATGTGGTCTATTGGTATCAGTTCCAACGCTCCTACCACCTACCCATCCACATCCTCCAAAAATTGGAAGAATTATTCTACAGGCCCTGTGACTCCAGTAAAACCCTTACTTCCTATAAATCTTAGATCCTCACCCTCTTGCGTTGTGCGTTCACCGCGCGATGCTAATCGGGATGAGATCTTCGCCTCCGCTCCCCCAGGGAGCTCAAAACACCGACTACACTCGACATCTTGATGGCTCACCATCGAGTGATGTTATGGTTATGAGCTATGCGAAAGTCATACTGTGGAGTGATGAGGAGTAGATGATGTTATATTTAGTAGGTGACGGTGAATAGATTCATACAATACCATGCTGTAGGTATATGGACAAAAAGTGTAAGACTAAACCTTTGTCCGTTTATTGTAGGCACATCTATGAAACTATGTACATGCTAGTCCTTCATAGTCATAGAATTTGAATTTGAAATCTTTTACGTGACAGGAAGAACCTAACATCTATTTAGACGTGATACGGGTAGATGGGCTCTGAAAGCTCATTGCTACCTACATGACCGGCAGTGGGGCCAGAAGCGACAAAAGAAAAGAGTGAAAAAAAAAAAAAAGAACAGTATGTGTCTGAGTTACGGTGCCCTGCGCCGCATCCCTATCTTCCACACCCATCTACTCTCGGGTCTGAAACAATCTCAGCGTGGTCACCTCCCACCCTGTTCATTCTTCGGCAGACTGTAACATCGGCTTGTAGTTAAGAATCGAATGAACTTCTGCCATCCCTTCTCCCCTATCATTTCTCTGGCCCCAGGTGGGGCCATTTTCTCATAGATTCTCCAACGTAGCAAAGCAGGTTGGCACTCTGAAAAATGCCAGGGCCTTTTCTCTCGGCCGCAAACGCATTTCAGATCTTCATGTTCGGGGTTGAAACGTCGATGGTAGTCGGCATAGTCCCCGTGGCCTGTTCTTGCCGCAATAAGACGATGGTACGCCCATCTTGGTAAAGCTAGTTCCGGTGGTCTTTTGCAACGCATGAATAGGTCCAGATCTTTGTATCGTTTCGGTCGATACTTCTGCCACCACTCTTCCACGAGCTCTTGGCTACGCTGTTTAACCCACCTCCCTAATGCCGCAAATGTTAGATCTTGATCTTCTAGAATGGGCGCAGCTGAGGTTAGTGACCGGTTATTGGAAGCTCCCAAGGCTGATTTGGCCAGCTTATCGGCCTCTTCATTGCCTTGAATCCCTACATGCCCGGGTATCCAGCGTATTTCCACACGCTTATTGTGTCTCAGCGATGAAAACTTGTCCACCACCGACTGCGAGGAGTTAGATCTTCCTCTTTCGAGCGCCTGGGTGGCCGCTTGGTTGTCAAGAAGAATGCAGATCAGTAAGTCTTTTCCTACCTCTATTGCAGCCTTCAAGGCTTTCATGGCACCTACAACTTCTGCATCGAATACCTCTGCTCCGGGAAGTGGACCGGAGCCACTTGTAACTAGCTTGCCTCCTTGGTATACTACATACCCACAGGATGATTTTCCGGGACCCGATGATGATCCATCAGAGAAAGCGAAGACTGTGTCAGCTGGGCGGGAAGCTAACCACCGCTTTATGCTTACAGACCTAGCTTCATTTTCTCGACTACATGGAATCGATGCTGGAGTGCCACGTGGGAAGTATAGCTTTCTGGGGCCTTCGGCTGTCGGAACTCGACGCACACTCTTTTGTAGGCGTGTCATGTACCGTTCTGGTTGTCTAAACAAACGATTTCTTTGTCCCGATCTAAGACCTAAGCGTCTTGTTGTCTCTTTCGGATCCTCAGCCGCCCGAATAGCTAGAGGGTGCCAGGCATCCATTCTTCGCATACGAGCTACAGACCGCAGTATCTTTTGCTGAAGAATTATCGATGCCAGGGGTATTCCCGCTTCACGATGAAGAGCAACATTGGGAGTGGTACGCCACGCTGGGAGTGCTACTCTAATAGCTTTCATTATCGTTTTTTCCAATAGAGATATGTGCCAGCCTACTCCAGTGCCGACTTCTTTATCTCGCAGTGTGGTAATTCGAGTGAGACCTGGCCACCACGCTTCTGCCCCGTATAGAGCTGTGCTCAGGACGCATGCATGTACCGCACGAATCAGAGGTCCGGGTGCTGCACCACGTTGAACTCCGTTTATATGTCGTAAGAAATGGACTAGACGATTAGCTTTTCCAGTCCATTCCTGTACATGTTGCTTGAAGTTTAGCTGGGTATCAAGCCAGATTCCTAGCCACCGGATATAAGGTGACGGTTCGATCCGGCGATCTTTCACCAAGATGGAAAGATCAGCCGCGTTGATTTTCTTTCTAGGCCCTCCTCCGGTCACTAGAATTTCTGACTTTGCTGGGTCAAAATCGATCCTGTGTTCTCTTGCGAGAAGGATAAGGCTGTCGAGGTCGTCTTGGGCTGCGGAGATAGCATCCGCCGCGGTGTCTCCAATTCTGACAATAGCTACATCGTCAGCATAACCAAACCTACTCGTTAGACCCTGATCCTCAAAAAGCACAGCGATGTAGAGCATGAAAAGAAGTGGCGATAGTGGCGAGCCCTGAGGTACTCCACATTCCAGTATCTTCTCTTCTGTGATTCCACCGCGGTATTTGACCTGAACCTTTCGTTGGTAAAGAAATGTCTGAATAAACCGGCACAGGGATCGTGGCCAGCCTTGTTCTCGAAGGCGTTTGAGCAGTCGGTTGTGAAGGACTGCATCAAATGCACCTTGAATGTCGAGTGTGACCATAGCCGCACACTTACCACTTCTCATGGCCGCCTCAGCATCATGGATTACACAGGATGCAAGGTCGACTGCAGATCGTCCTGGTACGGAGCCGAATAGTTGTGGGTGAACAACTTGGTGACTTATCGTCAGCCATGCCATTCTCTTACCAACTAGACGCTCAAGTCCTTTACCTAAACTTGACAACAGCAAGATTTGTCGCCAACCCTTGGCAGTTGACAGATTTCTACCCGGCTTTGGAAGAAGCACAACTTCTGCCACCCTGAAGGCCGTGGGAAAGTAGCCGATTTTCAGACAGGCCTGGTAAAGATCTTTCACGAGAGGTCCTAGATGGGACCAACAGGATTTCAGTAACCGTACCGTTATCTTGTCCGCTCCCGGTGCCGTATCGTTGACAGATACAGTGGCGCTTGTCACATCGTCCAGTGATAATTCCGTATCCCATGGAATACGCTCCTCCTGTCCATTCTCCCAGATAGAGATTTCGTTCTCGCCGCTAAACCTAGCCAAGAGAATAACTCGTAGCGCACTAGCTCGCTCTTGCGGGTCAGATAGCCACCGGTTTTCGTCAATCTGCAGGGGAGGGGACTCGGCGGCTGGTCGAGGCTTAGCCCATCTCATGAGCTTGAATTCCTGTGCGTCAGTAGTCACTGCCTCCACTTGCCTCTTCCAGTACTCTCGCTTGGCTTTTCGTACCACGGCTCTAAAGCTCTTGCGGGCCTCTTTCGCGAGGTCAGGGTTGTCTCTCGCTGCCTTGTACTCTTGCCATTCTGTGCGACATTCATCGGTCCACCATGGCCCAGTTCTTCCGCTTTCGATGGCTGGGACTTTCCCTGCAATCTTGAGCGCATCTCCAAGTGCTTGTAGGAGATCATTTGTGAAGTTTTCGATGTTGACGACACTTTCGAGAGGGCCAGATTTGGTCCATTGGCTAACGCATCGGTTAAATTCCTTCAAGTTGGCGTCGCTGACACGAATGTTCTTTACAATTCCAGAGAGATCTGACACTGTAGGGTTAAGCACGGTACCTTCGATGGTCGAGTGATCTGAGGTACAGTGGTAGCGGTTGGACACAGATGCTACAGCGGCCGTGTTGATCCACGTTAGATCTAGGACGTTCCCATCCCTGTGCGTTGGCTCTCCAACAATGCTGACTAGGTCCATGTCGTGGGCTGTTGCCCATTCCATAATCTGGTTACCATTGCCGTACTGATTTGTTGTTTGCGGTTGCCAATGCTGTGACACAGAATTGAAATCGCCTCCAACAATCACTAGACCTCTAATTTCCCACCGGAGTAGGGGCTCCAAGGTTCCACTAGTGCCTGGGGCACGGTATACGTTGACAAAGGTTAGGCTGCCCATCTTTACAAAACAGTAGTCAGATGTCGGGCCTGACAACGGTGGAAATAGTTGAGTTGCATGACTACCTTTGCGCGTGAAAGTTATCGCGCGGGGCCGGATGTCTGTTCCTCCGAATGGTATGTGGCTATTGTAGCCAGGGTGACTTTTTGTTATAAAACCCCCCTCTTTCTTTCTTGTCCATGGTTCCTGTACCATGACTACATGTGCACCGGCATCCCATGCCTGCTGCAATGCTATATCCGTCTTTTCCCCACCTCTTCCGACATTCACTTGGTGAAAGTGGATGGTGTTGTACTTGCCTTTTGGTGCTTTTGTTGAGGGGTTTCCTAACATTAACACGACATTGTTGAGTCCTGGGCAATGACGGTTTCGACCGCCTTACCCTTCCTTTCTGAGTACGCTAGAGCAGCATGATAATCACGATGTCCGCGTTCTCTAATGATGTGAAGTTCTGCCGGGGTGCGGGGCAGAATTATCCCGTTTTGTCGTCTTGGCCGGGCCATACAGCTGCCCTCATTTGAGTGGTGAGGTCCCGCGCAATTTGAGCACTTTGACGCCTTTGCCTGGCACTCTGATGTCTCGTGGGTTCCCCCACATCTCCCACATCGTTGGCTCCGAGTACAGGAACGCGTTGTGTGGAATCCCCAGCAACGTTGGCATAGCTCGATTGGTCTTCGGCGCGAGAAGGGAATTGCTGGTCCGCTCTCGTCAAAGAGACGAAACTTTGTGTTTGCTGGTTTTTGTTGGAAATGAACAATCCAGCTTGTTGAGTATTGCCCAAGCTTTGTTTCTGTAGGCCTTACCTGGATTGGTGTGGCGCCGCATACAGCCTGGCATTCGTTCTTCACCATATCGTTGGTAACTGGGATGCTGCCTTCAAGCGTCCTGATGTACAATGGCACATGAGGTACGATCAACGATGTCCATTTGGACGCTTCCTCAATCACGGTGTTGTCTTCCTGTAGGGAAACTGCAATCCTCATGATTGTATCTCTCAATGCATCTGATGCGCATTCGAGAGCGATCCCCGACCTGACTGGGTACATGGAGGTGATAGCTGAGGCTGCTATCCCAGCCTTGTCGGTTATTATTTTCTTGATCGTAACTGGCGAGAGCTTGTGCCAGTGATGATCTCTCCCCAATCGAAGGAACAGGCGTTTGTCCTTCTTTTGGGTTGTCTGTGGTTTCGGGTGGCTTGATGGAGCAGGCCTTCGTGGAACTTGCACATTTGGTGGTGTCGGTAACTTGGCCGCTTTACGGGCTACTGTCACCCAGGGCGAGCTGGTGTCTTGAGGCTTTGGGGGTAGAGCGTGGCTGTAATCCTCAACAGCTGTATTTTTCCTAGGCGCGACTGGTTTTGGAGTGCTTGCCATGGTGGGGGGCTTCTTAATTGGAAAGTTAGATGCTTCTACCTGATCTACGGCGAAGGCAGTGATAACAGGCGTGATGTTTTCCAGCAGAGTCGCGACAGCTGCTGCTGCTTGTTTCTCTCCTTTGCTCTTAGCCCAGGAGTCGATTAGTTCTAGAAATTCCTGGGCTATATCCAGTCTTTCTTTCCGTTGTTGTTCTGCTTTGTGCATTGTATTCACAATGCCAAGCAGGCTTGGGTGAAGTTGCCCTCCTGGATTGGAGGGCGTTGTCGATGACGATGCAACAGCTGGGGCCATTGCACCGATTGAGGATTCTTGTAAATAAGGGTAATGGGTGATGCGATGTGCTTCATAGTCATAGACTCAGTAGGGACTTAAATTTAATTCTGTAAAACTTAGAGGGGCTTCGTGTAAATGTCACGTGAATCGTCAAGAATGTAAGAGTAAAGGTATAGAATTATCTACTACTACGAGTCGAGCCTAGGACTATATTGTGTGAGTATCCCCTTGTGCGCTCCCTTGAGTATTGCCAGTAGCCAAACATCTGTGCGCGTAGATCTTACTTTCGCTTTTGGACTGGCGCGAAAGCCCAGACTAACATAGGTCTGCTTACAAATTCTATTCTATTCTATGTACATGCTCGCTTATTTATTAGCTCTAAAATGGGTGTGAACGAGTAGGGTAAGGCTAAAGGTTAAACCTCGGCCAGCTCCACCGGTTCTACATTTAAATAGATTGAAGGTTGTTGTAATTAAGGGAGTAACATGACTGCATTACAATAAACTGTTCACATTAGAATAATGTGCACATGCGCCATGGGATATGATTGACCTAAATCATCACTCATTGGCATGACATAGTATTTCCCAATAGATTCCTAATGGTATCTATTGGCGCTAGGATCTCTCACATCCTTCCTTTCTCGGTTAGACAAGGACAGATGTTGGAACATCCACTAGTGTGCAGAACCCCCTTGTTCATGTATATAGAGGAAGGTCCTGTCACGTAGATAAATTAAGCAATTCATACAATAGGAAATTCAAACAATCTCCATATTATTTACACACTTGAGAATACTAGGGAATATCCTCAAGTTCGTCCATTGATCCAAGTCCTAAGAGTGTAACTCACGAACTTTACTTCTCTTAAAGCCATAGCTACCTCCTTCCATACCTTCATCCTAACGGTACGTCATTCCAGCTCAGCATAGCCTTTCAATAAAGGTTACGGCCTAGGATTTAAAACTAAAATAAATTAATAAATATGTACATGCCCGCCTAACAAGTACACTAGTGATGTATGATGTGGCCTCGACTACTGTCACGGTTTGACCGTTGTATGAGCTTAGGTGGATACATAAGCGTAATACTTAGATTGTTTACAAGAAGGTCGCACGGGGAGGGGAAGATGGAACTAGACGAAACGATAATACTAATCAGGACGCAAGATCGCTGTTACAACTAAGTAACACCCAACGATACGTGGCTAGTTAGCGAGTATGATGTCTGGAGGAAAACCATCAGTTAGTAGATACACGCAGCGGATCAGTCATTATAAGTACCTGTTGGTTCTAGCTAGAGTTCTCTTCTCTCCTCATATAGTTTAATAAATCGACTTATTCATCACCAACTCGGTTTCCGTCACAACTACCTTGTTGTATTACATGATAACAAGGAATCTCAAGCGCGCTTCAAAGGGTGAAAGCGCGCACGACTCCCCAGGCTCGGCGTCGCTCCTCCTAAAGGGATTCGAAGCCATCGAAAGTCACCAAACGCGTGTCAAAAACGGCGATTTAGGTGAGACTAAATCCTAGTCAACTGGGTCAAGAGCCAGACGGGGTTGCAGCAAGCAGTTAACCTTGATATTGCACGATTCCTCGCCACCCAGTTAGAGTCTTTGATAGCTGGAAACGCGAGATCGAGCTTCAAATTAACCACCTCTTCCAGTCCCTCGGGGGCCAAGGATATCCTGGTCAAGCGCGCCCCCTCCAGTATCTCGAAGACTACTCCCGCATCAGATGATCGCTTGTACGCTGGAGTAGGCAGAACACAAGATTGAGTCGACGGCGCCCGTTTGGACATGCGCCCGGTCAAGCGTTCCAAGGGACGTATCAAACGCGACTAAAACAGACGTACACGACACATCGATTATCGGCGCATCTTAGTATCCATTGACTCGCCGACACGGCTCAGCAGGGCCGACCCATGTGCCCTGCGAATGGCGTTATGTTAGGAAGTGGAAGACTTCACACTCGCGGATATTCCAAGTATCACTTCAGCCAGCACCGGATGGTCCATAGCACCTTCATCCGGCAAGTTGCGCGACTTGATCGCCACCGAGAAGAGACTCGAGATTATTCTCAAGATCATACACGGCTCTGAAGCTCACCAGTCACGACGCTTGTTCAACTACACGGCGCCTGACGTCTAGAACTCTGTCCCCTCACTCGGTAGGAAGCTTAATATGATTACACTAGATCTTATAGAAGAAGTCTTTGCGCAGACCAGAGCTCGACCCGATAACTGCTGCCCGTCCACCCCTTCCGCCTGTTTGGTAGAGGGGAGATCTGCAGAGCTATCTGTTGGTACAACGGGGCTCACTTGGTTTAATGCCTTAAAAGTGCTAAAAACAAGTGGTTTAATTCTATCTATCCTCTCCTGTTTTCCTTTCTCAAGCACTAACATCTAAATTACAAATCGGAGCTTAGCGCCCGAGCTAAATCATGTGATGCATTGACCAATGCTTATTGAAGTATGTATCCAAGACAAGCCTTTCATCCCTGCGCCATTCACCTATGAATCGACACTTTTATCAGAAATCCCACTGGCTCAAGGCACGAATTAGGATGCCAGGGATTGTGTAATCGAGCCAAGTTCACACGTGACAAGCGATATGGGCGTTGCAGTGTGGAGCTCGCTATCCTCACCAAACCTGACGACTACAACTGCGAGAGCGCTCCAAAGTAAACCAAATGCAGTGGGACTTTCCCAGCCAGTCACTCCCACTGCCCCGACACTCCAAAGTGGTTGGACAGGAGTTTTTTTAAACCTAGGAAAGCAGAGATTGATGCCATGCGCAAAGCCAGCGCCTCTAACTGCCGCGAAATTACGTCTAAGAACAATAACTCCTCCTCTAAAGGCAAAAATCCAGCGGTAGAAGAGCCCAAAATGCCGAAACTGAGTCAAATAGAGAGAGCTGCCCCGCTCCCGTCAATTCGACCAATAAGCCACATTACAGCAAGGCGCGAGAGAGCTGCTGCTGGTATGGTACACGAAAACCGATTCAGCCCCCTCTCTCAGACCTTTCGGCCCAAGCGCTCACACCCGCCAACCATTGAGGAGGACAACGAGGAAGTTCCCTGAGCCCAGCGGTCTGTGGCTCTCTCACAGAGCTCTACAGGGAGTTCTTCGACACAGTCCGTACTGACTGACTGTGACGCGATGGAAATCGCCGAATATTCATGAGTACACACCCACAAATACGTGCAAGGCGCGGCTGCAATAGCCGCTGGCGCAGGCACTAGAAAATCTCTGCTATGTGTGTTAACGTGGGCAAGGGCAGCCTACGCACAAGAGAACATTAACGTAATTTGCATGCAGGAATCCTGGACAATGGGCAATTGTATCCCGCAGAGTCACGCTCAACACACAACCTACGTCCCAGTAGAAATATAGGACGGTACGTAAGACCAGCGCCCTCGCTTTATGACATATATTAGAAGCAGCAAAGGCCTCAAAATGGAGCAACGGTGACCCATTAACTCTCAAGGTCTGGGCTGGATCACGGTGAATGGTTACGCCATCTTAAACGTATATCGAGAGCCTCTATCAGACGAGGTCATCGACTATGTCACCAGTCTAGCACCCCAAAACCATACGCTGGTGGGTGGATACTTCAACCTTTGGCATGACATCTTCGAGCCGGGAATCGCTAATACGCACCAGGTCGGGGATGTCGCCCATTGGTCCATCTTCAGCGGAATGGACAACATAGGCGTATCTGGTACTGCTACACGGATCACCAGCCACGTGCTTGACCCAACTTTTTCGAATATCCCCTTCGCGAGCATAGATATTCGACACTACCTTCACTGCGGGTCCGATCATGAGGCGCAGGCCACTATCATCCCGGGCAGGAGGGATAGACTTGCTCGAACAGGCCAGCTACCGTGAACTAGAGTCCGAACTCCCCAAGTTTTCCAGTATCTGTGACGACCGGGGATGGGAGGTTTCGTTTTTTAAAGATAGATTTGGACAATTGATGGATTCCTATTACGAAATTACAGATTCGTATCTTTCTAAACCCTTCTTTGAAAATATGAAGCATAGAGATAAGTCAGGTGATGCTTAATGAAAGTCTTTGATGAAGGGTTTGTCTTTTGAATGAATATTTATTCGTGAAAGGCATAAGCCTAGCACTCATGGAGCATGACACGGAGAAGGCGACTATACACGACGATAACTCAGCTTAACATTTGGACTACTCATGTAGTGGGTGCCTTAGCTGATACCACTTAAGACCTTTGTTCTGGGGACTTTCACCCTTTAATCAACCCTGAATATCCACCATAGAAAAAACAGTAATAGCCTCTGGCTACCCTAACATGCCTTTGTCGTCTTGTATAAAGCCACCACGCGAAATATGGCCTTACAGTCCTCCCTTTCTTGAGCGAGGTAGGTGTCCAGGCTACCTTGACCTTTATTCGGGGAGATCACGACCAGGAGGTGAACGAAAGCACCTTCCATCATTGCCTGTTTTCGAAGTGTTGGTGTATAGCTGCATACGCAATTAAAATCTGATGCAAAAAAAAAAGATGTGTCGGTATGGATCCTGAATTCTAAGTCCGAGCGAGCCGCCGAGTTTGAGGTTCCATCAAGAATGCACCCCTCGCATTCTTTGGTCACAACCCGAGCGGCTATGCACCTCACTCCTCCCCTACTGTATTCTGATAGTTTACTTGTCATGTATTATTGATCGTTACATTATCTGGATTTTAGAGGATTTTATGTTTTAAAGGAGGGGTTAGAACGTTAATAGAAATACAAGTTTACACCTAGTCTCCAGCTCTACCCACATATAGTGTGAAGGGCTAAGAGGATAACGGACACCGTGTCGCCGGATCAATTGGTGTTGGTATACAGCAGAGCAAGTCAAGAATAAAATCAGTTAATTAACGAAATCTAAAGACGGAAGGTCCTCTACATCTTGCTATTTACATAAGGGATTTTAATTAACGACACTGCTCATAACAGTCTCCGTTGCTTAGCAACCGTTTCCAATCTCCACCCTTGGTAGTCTCTATATCTGACTAGACCCTAGATTCCATCTCTACCGTATTGTCGCAGACAGTACACACACAAGGGAGTATTTGAAATTTTTCGTCGAGTTGGCGATCGGGAGGAGTGGTGTTCGCTCATTTTTGGTCGAAAATCCGACTTGCAGAGATTTCACGACTGCACAACTCAACGAAATCAACCATCTACACCCCAGATACGAACCGCAGACAGGCTATAACCTGTCTGATGTTCGTATTATAACAACCAACACCTTCAAAATCTTATTTCTATTTCTCTGGAAAATCACTCCTAGCCAAACTCATCTCGCGGCCCTCTCAACAATCATCTCACCACCTACCTAAGCAATCCCACACCTCCAAAAGCCAAATCGCCAATAAAGAAGCAAGATGATGTCCGACCCTACGCAATTGCCAGTCGCTGTGAAGGTACGGTCGAAATACCGGCCTTATATGCGTCCTCGCCTCGGCCAAGGGCACCAACAACTCGACCTGCGACGAATCGCCACCGACGAAATGCGTACGACTTTTCGCCAGCACACCAACCAGAGCGTTCGACAAAGGCTGGGGCATTGGTGCCTCGGTCTTGAGCTCTCAGTCGCGTTTTCGACCTCCACGGTTAGGGGTATGGCAGCGACGGGGCAAGGCCGGAGGGGTGGACATTCTACAAAGTTTCTTGGATGACGATATCGGCTGAAGGATAGATGGATGCTGTATGAAGGAATAAAAGGGAATACAAACTGAGGAGGCCTTGGTAGGCGACTGGATTAGGCCTCCAGTGAAGAAAACAACCCCTGGATGAGATGAGGAGATGCTGAGAAGAGCCAAAGCTGGGGATCAATCGAAGGGAAAAGTTACAGATCGCGGAGGTTTCAAGGGCTCGGGCGCGTGGTGGCCGAGGCTGAGGAGGAAATTGCGTCTGGCGCGTCAAAAGGATGTTCTCTGGACGGTTGGGCTTGACATGATTCAACACATGGGTGAAATCTGAGGTGGTCCGGTCATTTAGGTGGGAGGAGGTAGATGTACTTTACGGTAGTTGACCTGATTCAGCCCGGCCCCACCCGTGCTTAAGCTCCAGTAGGAGTGCAACGGGAATCACTTTACCTAGCACGTAAATGAACAAGACAAGATAAGACAAGACTTACCAGGCATTCTGTGATACTTATTACAGGCGTGCTTATAGTCCCTAGTCAACCGTAAGCTACATTGAAACCGTACGCACACCCTCCTCCGTTAGTACCCACAAAAGGGAATTTCGAAACCTTTGGTTATCCAAGCATGCCTTCGTCATCCTTGCATACCAGCGCCGCGGGAAATGTGGTTGTGTTTTGCCGGATTCGAACCAGCGATCTACTGTCTCGAGTGGGATATCTGTCCAAGCTATCCAGACTCTACTTGGCAGACCGGCCAAGATGATGTACCACCACACCATCCAACCATGGCGGTGTTTATAGTGTCGCCTGCACTCTCGCAACCGAAGACTTGGCACGCGCAAAGCTCAACTTGTAAAAACACCTTGCCGAAATTCGAAATTCCGCGCCCGTCGAGATTGTATCCATCCTTCCCATCATCTTGTGAACTTGTCCTGAATCCTCTCATGTCCATCCCAAAGAGCTATCTCCCAGATTTGTGCGCCACGCTTTGTTTCCTCCGTCGGATATAAATATTGGCGTGGGCGTGTATTTGGTGACCGGCTGAGGCCAAAGAAAGTCGGCGAGAGGTGTGGTCATTGGGATGAGGAAGTACGAGGTCGTGCTTGTAAACTTAATGAGGCTTGGGTAGGAATCGGACTCTTTCGGAGTGAAAAAACGACGTGGTGGAGTTATTTGAATAATTGCCTCGTGGGCCAACTTGTTCGGTATTGCGAAATTTGACTGAACTTGGCTCTGGGAGAATATTTCACTCCCAGGTTCGTAGAGGACACCGCGTACAGGTGTTCAGTCTTGCCCTCGGCGGATGACTTGTGTGTCAGGCCCAGCCTAATCTAACGTGGCACAGCCCGTAACATATAGATTGTCGTAGTCGGAGCCACGAGACATCCGTGAATTTCACAGTCAACATTTATCATTTTATTCTTACTATCGTGCATAAGAACCCTCATCGGTAGTTTTTTTATTATTATTTAGTCCTCATCGGTAGTCTCAAGTGATGGAGTGGATTCAGGGATTGTATGGTCACGTGATATCACGCGTTTGATGCGCGATTCACGATTTATATATTTATATGACTCGACAGGAGTCAACTTTTCTATTTAAAGAGAATCTCAATCACCAGATAAAACCTCGTCAATTTATTTTATGACTTTCAACCTGACAGTTAACACTTTCCGAAATCATTGCCTCTGCGCCAACAGACAACCTTAAATCGAGAACACTCCGAATATGTGAGTCCCAGCATACTCGCTTGAGATCACTTCACTCGGTTGTCTTACGTCCCAGTAGCCTGTACTTCCACAAGATGTGAAGCCCCATTGGAACAAAGGTTTCCCATAGACTATGACTCGAGCTTTGTACATTATGACTTTGTTTCCTCCTGGCGGGTAGACATAGCATCGTAACTTTGCAATGGGAAATGGTCAATTTTCGATGACGCATATTCCCAATTGCAATTAGAGTGACGACTTTATCGCCAGTCGAGGCGAGGCGGTGTAGTCATATTGGGATAAAAGACTCGCGTGAGAATGATAGGTCCGATATTGACGAAAAGTAGTCCATTTGAGATATTCTTGAGGGTGATTTCAACTCTGATTCAGTTTCGATTCTTCTTGGCCATCCCACACATGCAAAATATACTGAGCGATTACATCCGCACCACACGAAGGTGAAGAATTCGTCATTCCCAGGGTAAAAGGTGTTTGCAGCCCCCCAAATATATTCTGCTTCTAATTATTCATCATTCGTGTAATTAAAAGTTGACAAAATTTACCTACAGCTAGTTATTCTAACAGGAATTGAGTCATGTAAATTAGCTGTCGGGTCATGCCACGTTTGAGAAGTCGTAATTTCGTACAGAGAAGTCAAAAAACCACAATTAAACTTATTTTTGGATCTTGAAATATAACAGGCTCTTTTGTGGCTATGTAATCGATTGTTTTGATCTACAGCCTTGTCACAAGCAAAGAATCGAAAGTTTGGCGCCGTTGCTCTAAAACGTATTTGCCTGACTACCTTAAGGCTAAAAGGTACAGGGCTTCAGGTACGACCACACAACGTCGCCAATTTTGTCATGTCTCAATTCAACAATTCTGCTGGCAGTGATATAACCCCTGACACAGCTGATTTCTTGCACCACACATTTTCCGGGTCGTCAAAAGTAAACAATCTATATTTAAAAGTGGACTCTCAATCTACACTGTTTCCGCCTCGGTCCAGTTCAGTTCAGAGGGCGGAGTCACGGCTCCAAGAGACCGGGGGTCTAGATGTTGGCAAGCTCCAAATCCTGCAATCATCCCAGGACAATATCAGTCCACCCAACCTCCTATCACATTTCTGATCAAAGATGTTACCTCGTCACAATGCTGGCACTGGCTATCCGCGATCAAAGTACGATTTGGGCAAGAACACTTATCAAATAAGCCCGCACAGGTAAGCTATCGACATCACATACCACATAGACAGGAAAGAGAAAAACAACATAGGGCATTTCTGACAATTCATTTGTGCATAGATACCAACCCAGGACTTCATCTACCGCTCGACGACGAAGGCAGACGCTGATTAAGCTAGTGGTGGCCCTGAGTGTGGTATTATTGTTTATATTCTTCTTATGGCCTACTTCTTCAATATTTTCAGTACTATCTTTCGGCTTTATTTCCTCTCAGGGTAATTTTCAACTTGAAAATCTACGATATTATGATCTATCAAACGTTCAAGGATCGGCGAGAGGCTGGGAGAGAGAGGAGCGCATTCTCTTTTGCGCACCTTTACGAGAGGCCGAGTCACATTTGAATATGTTCTTTAGCCATCTGCGAAACCTAACGTATCCTCATCATTTAATTGACTTGGCATTCCTGGTTTCCGATACGAATGACAGAACTCTGGAACGTCTTACGGAGTTATTAGAGGAACTCCAGGCCGATGATGATCCCAAGCAGCCCTTTGGAGAGGTGTCAATAATTGAAAAAGATTTTGGACAGAAAATTAAGCAAGATGCTGAAAGTAGGCATGGGTTTGCAGCTCAAGCTAGCCGGAGAAAGTTGATGGCACAAGCAAGGAACTGGCTGCTAAGCGCCTCACTTCGACCGACGCATAGCTGGGTCTATTGGCGTGATGTGGATGTTGAGACGGCTCCGTTTACGATTCTCGAAGATTTGATGCGACACAATCGAGATATCATAGTCCCGAGTGAGCATGTTTGAGAATGGGAAGCGCATTATCTACTAAAACTTGCTAGATGTATGGCGACCACTGCCTGACTGGCTTGGCGGAGAGCAGCCATATGATTTGAATTCATGGCAAGAATCAGAGACCGCACTAGCCTTGGCCGAAACTCTAGACGAGGATGCAGTTATTGTCGAAGGATACGCAGAATATGCGACATGGAGACCACATCTAGCTTATCTACGAGATCCATACGGTGACCCTGACATGGAAATGGACATTGATGGTGTGGGAGGTGTGAGTATTCTTGCTAAAGCCCGAGTCTTTAGATATGGAGTCCATTTTCCCGCCTTCAGCTACGAGAAGCATGCTGAAACCGAAGGGCTAGGAAAGGTTAGTTCTGAATAAATCATGGGAAAACAGGTTGATCCTATAACTTTTCTAGATGGCAAAGCGGATGAAATTTTCTGTGGTTGGGTTGCCTCATTACACTATTTGGCATATGTACGAGCCCAGTGAAGATGATGTTCATCATATGAAGGTATGTTTTAAATAGATTTAGCCACAAGTTAATTCCCTCTAGGAAATGGAGCAGGAGCGAAAAGCCCGTGAAAAAGAAGAAGAAGAGAAAGCTGTACGAACCCAGAAAATAAAAGAGACATTTGCGGATCCGAATGCTCAATGGGAAAAAGACAAGTCTATCATTCAAAATCTTGCAAAAGAAGAAAAGTTAGCCGACAAACCAAGTGAAGACTCAAACAAGAGCAAAGATTCTACCACAGAAGTTTCCGGCTCACAAACTGAATCCAAAGGTCCCGAAAAAGATTCGTCCGTATCACAAAAGCCACCGGTGGAAAATGAGTCGGCATCAAGTCAAGATAGCACGGTCATATCAAAGAAAGTTCCAGGAACGGAAGACAAGGTTTAGGCAATACTAACACAATGTATCACGTGAGCAAGGTTCAGACTTCGCCCATGAATCTTTCACTAAGCATCCGATGGTAATAAGTAAAGATAGCTTCGGCACGCCTCAAGGCTTATCTGAGAGTTGCTATTTATTATTCAAGCTTTGAGAAGTATACGAAGGATCAATCACGTTAGCATGTACATACTAGACTGATGGAGTAAAACTTTAATAGTAACGCTGTCACGGAAAGAAATGGCAGTAAGGGATCAGGGCCCTCAGATAGTTTTTCAGAAGCAATGTAAATATAGGGAGTGAATTATTGAATTATGGAATTATGGAATCATTAAATTACAATGGTCGATAGACTTACCGTTCCAGTAGTCTCTGACATTTGGGAGAAAGCTTGGCATCCCTTTGTGTTGTAAATACAAGGCTTAAAAATTAAGGAAATAATGGCCCCTCAGTCATCGAGGTTGTAGAGCGAAACGAATCGAATAACTACCGAGGTGAAACTAGGTACAAGTTTTGTAGTCACTTACGCATTATCAACGTGACCTATTTGACAGCCCCAATTTTTTGATTTTCGAAAATTAAACGTTATAAGCTTCTTAGGAACCCCAATTCTATGCATACTATTTCATAAAACCAACTAAAAGCCTTTTTAATTTGGTCATCACACTTGTGATGGCCAAGTCACAACTAACTTCCTCTTCGGTTTAGCGAGTCGCTGATGACCTCGAGCTTGCCCAGGAAATGGCATAAGGTCGAACTATATGGTATCCAAAATTCCACACTAAGATTTGGACAGCCGTTGAAGAAGCCCACTCTCTTTTAAAATTATTCGTGCATGAGAAGATGGACGCACTTCTCCTCGTGGCTGCTTACGGGCAATCTATGCGGCACGACACTCCAAGACAGCCCAGCCAAAATATCCACTCCCGACATCCTGATTCTATGTCAAACTACCCTCATAACTGGGCAGTGACCGCCGCAGGCCCATACGCTTCTGTTCCCTTTGTTCCGGTCCAGCCTATTTTCAACGGTTATGTTTGGTATGTTATTTGACAAAGATACTTGCATGTATGTAACTTCATTAGTTGTCTAGGCAGTTCAAGAATTTCTTGACATGTTTGTTGTGTCTGTAGAAGGAAGTTTGTGTACGCAGAAGCTGACTAGCGGCCGCACACGAGTAGAAGTAGCGAGTGATCGGCACATAACTAAATTGTTAAACAAGTATAACCTGCATACCTTTGCTGGACTCAGAGTAGTATTGAAGTTCCGATAATAAGTGAGCACATTGGCCTCAATTCTTATCTACATGTAAGGAAAGTCCCCGGAGTGATTAATCCAAAATGACAGTGTGGATATCCGTCTCAAAATGTCAAACCTATGGTCTTGGCGTGTCCTCAGCGGGCAATGGGAAGTTGAGAGGTGGTTCGAAAGGCAAAAGATAGGTCATTTGCGGCAATGATGAATAGCCCAGATGATATAGAGAGAATCACAAAATTGATCCTAGCAAAAGGCTGGGTCGAAAAATTCCGGCTTTCAGGAGGAGTAGAAGTAGAAATAGCAATGGACGAAAAAATGAGATGATGTGAACAAGGATAAGACGGAATTCACACTGTATGAGCAGTGTAGGCGCACTTCCTTTGGAGAACCTCAGAAACCTCGGAAATCTAATAGACACGAGTCAGACAGTTTTGGGGGGTTTTTACCGAATTTGGTATCTGTTGGTACAACGGGGTTCACTTGGCTCAATGCCTCAAAAGTGCTATAAACAAGTGGTATCTTCTGTCTATCTCTTCCGCTCTCTCGCTCCTCAAGCATTAATATCTAAGGTACAGAGTAAAGCTTAGCGCCCTAACTATATCACGTGATGCGCTGACCAATACTTTTGGAAGTAAACACTTAACACAAGCCCTTTATCCCTACGCCATTCACCTGTGAACTGACAGTTTCTTCCTGTGTGAATATTATAGCTAGATATGCCTGCATGGGCCCAAAGGGTACCTCAACAGGCTAAGTGAAATCAAATCAGACAAGTATGATTATCCTCTAATTTGCCTTCAATCACGAGTTATCTCCCCCTTCGTCAAAGATACGCTTCCGATAACACATAAGACGACAAAGACGACGATAATGATGCTGGGAATGAGGAAAGATAATGCAGTATCAAACGCTACAACGGTAGTCAGAGAAGCCCTCGTTATATCACAACATGTGCTACCTACCGGCGGGCGAACAAAAAGCCCACGAAAGCAAAGTAAAAGACCCTTCCGCCCTCAAGAAAAGCAGATTTAGACTCGTCTACATTGTCGTCCCTACTAATCATAACTTCCGAATCTACTAGCCAGGAGGGCATCTGACATACATGAGTTACTCGACGACCCCACGTCTGTAACGACTTCTGGATGCTTGGCTAGGCTCCTTCACGACTGTCACTCTCGACCAAGACTTTTCTGACATCCTTTCACGACCTACGATTTGTCCTGCGGCATGAATCATGGGAGGAGTAAGTAGGAGGTCAGGAAGGTTGAGAGACGCTCTTAGGTATACACAGGTCTGCTGCGCCCGGCTGGCCGGCCTCTTCGTCATAGGAGAGCCCCGCACCCAGTGGTTTTTGAGACTTTTGCCTGCAGCTACACACCCGCAAATGGCCATCGTTTAGTTGGCTGGAGAGGGGAGATGATGACGGGATAACGGCTCCTCTTAGTGTGTACTCGAATGAAGAAGTGTGGGGGTATTACTGCTGGAAAGAAGTCGTGAAGGAGGCATAGGAGGGAGTACAATACCCGAAGCATAGATACTCCCGGCTTGTAGACAGAAAGGACCTACATGTCCTTACACAGTCATAGACTTTTTAGGACAATAAGCACTCACTCACTGCCTTCAATCACAGCCTAGTCTCATCGATTTATAAACTCGCATAAATTCAGCATGCATAGTGACACTTACCTAAGCCAATAACTATAAGACCAACAATCGAAACCCGCGCGCAAACGTGCAATATATTGAAATGTGTAACCTACTGCTTAGTTCGTGGACTCATTGATAGAGGGAAGCTTATGTAGTAATGAAGGATAAAAGGATGTCAATTCGACTACTCTTCTAAACACAGGTACCAGACTCCTTTCTACGTGTCCTTACACGATCGTAGACTTTAAAGGACAATAACCAAATACAAACAAACATACCAGACTCCTTTTCATCCCGATAGATAGGCCGTGCGGGGGAGGGCAAGACTGGACACCCGTACGCGGTGTCTGCGAACATGGGAGTGAAATATTCTCCCGGAGCCAAGTTCAGCCAAATTTCGCAATGTCAAAGAAGTTGGCCCACGAGGCAATGATTCAAATTACTCCTCCACGTCGTCTTTTCGCTCCCAACGAGTTCGACTTCTTCCTAAGCCTCACCAAGTCTATAAGTATGACCTCGTACTTCCTCATCCCAATGATCATACCTCTCGTCGACCTTCTCTGGCCTTAGATGGTCGCCAGATACACGCCCACGCCGATATTTACACCCGACGGAGGAAGCAAAGCGTGGCGCACAAATCTGGAAGACAATTCCTTGGGATAGATGTGAGAGGGATCAGGACAAGTTAATAAGATGATGCAGAGGATTGGATACAGTCTCGACGGGCGTGGAATTTTGAATTTCGGCAAGGTGTTTTTACAAGTTGAGCTTTGCGCGTGCCAAGTCTTCGGTTGCGAGAGTGCAGGCGACACCATAAACACCGCCATGGTTAGATGGTACGGTGGTACATCGTCTTGGCAAGTCTACCAAGTAGAGTCTGGATAGCTTGGACAGATATCCCACTCGAGACAGTAGATCGCTGGTTCAAATCCAGCAAAACACAACCACATTTCTCGCGGCGCTGGTATACATGGATGACGAAGGCATGCTTGGATAATCAAAGATTTTGAAATTCCCTTTGGTGGGTACTAACGGAGGAGGGTCGACTGTTTGTGTAAGCGAACATACCTCATAGTGGTATTTGCAAATGAAATACAGAGTATGAGTGTCTCTAACGTCAAAAGAGTCATCCCACATGTATACATAGCACTGGTCATGTGTCATAGCTAGATAGCTGAATACACATTAAATGATTCAAAAAAAAAAAAAAAAAAAGACTGAGGGGTCATTATTTCCTTCATACGTAGGTGTATATTTAGTGGCCAGCCGAGGCAAGATAAAGCCAAGGAGAATTGTGGTCATGGAAATGAGGAAGTATTCGATCGTACTTTGAGATCTGAAGAGGCCCAGGTAGAACTCGACCTTTCAGGAGAGGAGATTTGATTTGGTATTGAGTGTATAATCATTACCTCGAGTGCTAAATTCTTTGTTATTGCGAAATTTGACTGAAGCTTGCTGCGGGAGAATATTTCCTTCCCACGTTCGTATAGCACACCACTAATAATTGTTCCGGATTTGTTGTCCGTAAGGGCGCAATTGAAATTCTTTCCCGTCTTCAACCAAATTTGTTGGAGGGAACTGACCCCGGGCTAATATTTGAGACTGCACAAAAAGACATCTGGCTTTCCAAGACATCCAATGCCCTCATTACTGCTATTTATTACCCCTTAACCCGGGACTAGCACAGGATAAACTCACATGTCCTTGACAAGTTCTGTATCTGCCATACTAGGACATTGTTATTTTCTATTATATCTCTTAGCTAGTAATTATAGCTTGCGCTTATGAGGAAATACTTGCTACATGTCCATCTTTGTGTAATCATTGTAATTGCGTCGAATATGACTAAACCACTCAACGTATAGATGTTGGTATGCCACGAAGGTCAAGGACGGTACTATTTTCACATACTTAATGTCAGTTTTATCTAAGGTGTGAGAGCATGATTATTACTTCCAGCGCAACTTTATCTACTGGTGTAACTGACACAATTATATCATTAAGAAACTGACTTTTAATTCCCCGCGAGAGCCTACATCAAATCCCTGTTGTAGCTTTCCAGAGCACTGATACCTTACTGCACCCATCCAATAATGCAACTCGAGTTGCAGTTCGCTTTTATTACTCGGCTACGAAAAACATTATAGTTGGATCTTCAAAATCTTTTATTCCTGCAATTCCATCAAGACTGCGCTATTCAAGTATTGTCGAAATAAATGTTTCCCGGCATTCAACTAATCTTCCTAGCGTGCGTATTTTAAATCTTTACCCAAGTATTTTATACTGATTGATGAGAATTGTGCAAAGCCGAGTTAACGCCTTCAAGTTTTTATATCAAAGAGTAAATTTGTTAATCCTGAATTTATCTAATATCACAGCTCTACAATCCGTATCAGTAACCTAGCCCCCAGTGGTAAGGATTGTATAGGTTCCATCCCCCTCAGAGGTAAACATTTCCTAAATGTCAAACTGTCTGACTCTGTTGATTTTAGTGTGACTATATGTTTTCAATCTCATCACGGTTCTGTTCCCTACTCATCATCATAAAGAATTTGCCAGACTCAACATTAAGCCGGTTAAGTTTTATTTGAAACCGCCTATTCGGATGATTAATATTAAGATTCAGAATTGGTTCAATGTAAAGTTGAGAGAAGAATATACAACTATTTTGATGTAGAATTCTGAGACCTTGATTTATCAGGAGATAGATTATTTCTTAGCTGAAAACGAAACCAGAATCAATTTTTGAAGCGTTGCTAACATAAACGCGCCTCTGATTTTAAGATTTAATTGTCTTTATGATGCAATTGTTGAAATTTTTACATAAATGTGGTGACCCTACTGTGCAACAGTAATATCTGGAGCTTATGTGAAGCCCAACAAACCTTTATACCGTCTCCAGTGTCATTGAAAGCACAAGTTAAGAAGCGCCTACGCTAAATGGGGTAAGATCCAAGTACCTCATTCGCTTACTAGTCATGACAGACAGCTTTCTATACGTAGATAAAACATCCAATCCTTTGAGTAGACTCATGCTGATAATCTGAGACGGTCTTTCAAGTCATAAAGTTGTAGCTGTGAGATGTAATGCTTTTGAGAATAATTCACAAGGAGATTGTAATATCTGTCTCATTTTGAAGGAGATACTTCTTTGAAATACTTCTCCACTGAAAGCCAAGATCATTGCAGTAATGAGATGACGAATTTTTATGTGGATTCTGCTTGGATTCAATATTGTTCGTAGAGAGGTCATATCACTAATCGCGGATAGCGATAGCTTTATTTTATTTTATTCAGCCTGGCGCTCAGAATTCTAAATCTTCCTTGGCGATCTTGTTCGCATCAAGCTCTTGGGAGCTATGTTTACTCTCATCTTCCTCAAGAGGGGGGAGGCTAAAAGGCTTGATGACCATTCCTTTTCGCCGGTGTAAAGTAAATGCCAGGTTGTCATTGAATCCGCTCTTCTCTCCGCTGCCACCTCCTTTTTCATGAAAAACGGGCAGTTTGAGCAGCTTAACTATGCCTTGGGGCGGATCGTCTTGGCTATTCGTTGCTCCTGATGGGACTGCAGAAGAATTTTTAGTTGATATGAATGGAGAGAGCTCTATTACACCATCACAAAGTATTTCAATCCATCTCGTCAAGCCTGTGCTGCGAGGATAAAGTGTTAGAGGGAATGTTGCCATGATAGTTACTTGGGTTGGATATCTTCGAGTAAATGCTCGCAAGGCATGGAAGAACGGGAGAATTGTCTGAGGTTTGGAGGAGTCTGGTACATAAAGGGCTGGAGATAATAGATTGGGGATGACAACACGGTGGATAGTGCTAGGTGATGAATTTTCTAGCTTTGATGTGAGATAATCCAGAAAATTTGAGAAGGGCGATGGGGTACAGTTTAAGTCTCCGAAGCTAAGTATTGGTCGTATAGGTACAAAGTGAAGATTTGAGTAAGATGATAACGTGAGACGTTTAGTCAAATCAAAGTCGTGACAGAATGTAGAGGTCGAATTTCCGTGAGAAAATTCCCTTTCTACTTGAATTAGTAAATTTTTTTACCCGCATTGTGTGAAGTTAGAAGAGCACAAACCCCTGGTGTCCGTAGTCGATCCCCCAAGTCGCTCATATCTCCACGCAATTTTCATTCTTTCTGATGCTGCCTGTTCATATAATTTACTCGGAGCCTTTTCTTGCCTGGAAACATCCGGTAACTCTCTCCCCCATGTCTCAGGCATACCAAGAACATGGACTTGGTGACCCTGAAGTGCTCCTTCGGCTGCATAGTATTTTAATAGGCAGCCACTAAAATCAGTTGTACCATTTTCTTCAATCAGGAGAAAATTTCCCAGAGCTAGACCTGAATGGCCAGCTAGCAGAGAGTCTAAGGATCTTGTTCCTGTAGAAACTGTCGGTCGACCATCCAATGGTGAGGGTCGAACACCTTCAGCAAGGGTGAAGTTGGGACTTCTACCTGTTGGAGCTGTAGTTACTCCAACCTGTCCCAAAACCTGTCTTCTAGACCTGAACGACATCTTACTGTGGTGAAAGGAGCTGTTTTGGATGCCCAGAATCAAAATAACAGTGTGTTACCCGTGTTTGGTTATTTGAATTTTTTTCTTCTGCAACTTAGAATGTTGATATCAAATATGTATCATGGTGCGATGGCGAGTAACATGCTATGGCTCACAAGTGGGTCTTCAGACTTCTTGGCTGCAACCGAGATTATACGCATTCTCTGTGCAAGTTGGTGCCCTCAATGCCCACAGCGACATTTGCAGGAAACTTTGTGCATTTTCAACAAGATGAGAAATTGATACCCATTTGAGAGATTGAATCTGTCTAGTGCTTTTCGAGTCGCGCTGCCTTGCCTAGTTGGCGAATGTCTGAGCCTCCACACTACTAAGTCACATATGTTGACTCACAAAACTTACCTTGAATCTAAAGTGAACTGGATGGCGCAGTGGTAGACCATCCAAGCCAATATCACGACCAAGACAAATGCAGATACAATTAGTGTTGCATTCAGCCTCAAACAGCTAGTTAAAAATGTTAACTATGATGATGTAGAGCATTGCAAATGCATGTTGGCATCACATCAAGTCTTCACAATATCCCTTCCTGTATATGGACCCCAAAAATTAAAATTGGTCGTGTTTATAAACACATGTTCAAATTTTAGCAGAGGAACAAATTCAAGGTTTAAGTGTCTACAGAGCTAATGGGATCCTATAATGTATGCATAGAATTACCTAAGGTGTGACAATCAAAGCTGAGTATACACGAAATGAATTTGAACACGACCGAAAGCTACATCTTTCTCCCGAATGGAATACGATAATATCTTTAAAATCCGCTCAAGCAGTCGTTGAATCCCTGTAGGCCAGGATTTCTACCAAAAACGAGACAACGCTTTCTCGACACGAAGTCTTAATTCCACCATTTGAAATGCCGGAATCCTAGCTCTGAGTGAAATTTTAATCACAGAGGTTTGAAGAGGATCTCTGGGATATATCGGCCGTTTTATTACCCACCAGTGATAAGTAGCCGTGTTCCAGAAGTGTCATGAAGGTGAGATACCGGCGATCGAATTGTCCTTCTACATTTGGTTTGTTAAGCATTTTTCGTTCATCAAGCACGCACTACTGCCCCAGTTTGTATGCTCATCTCCGCTTACTAAAATTGATGGCAAGTGCCCCACGGTGTCTAATTTTGAGACAATAAACAGTTCACCATCTGCTACCAACAAAGTGATATGTGCGCTATGATTGGAAGTAAAGAGAAGAAAATGGACGATACAATCGGTCAGTCAAGAGTTTACTGAGATGTTTATTTAAGCACGCTAGTAAAGATTATAATCCTCTCGATCTTGTGGTTGAGTTTATTAGATTATTCGTTGTAAAATATATCTCTTATCAGTATGAGACTTGTTAGGATATGCAGGTCCTTTCTGCCTACAGGCCAACTATACCTATGCCAGTTTTATATCCCCTCCTATACCTCCCATACAGCCCCCCTCACACAGTACCTCCCCTCACAAGTCCTCATTCGATTATAAACTTAGAGGAGCCCTTTGTCCTTCATTATCTCCCCTCTCTAGCCAACGAAACGATGACCATTTGCGGGTGTATGGCAATCGGGAAAACTTGCAAAAACCACTGGGTGCGGAGCTCTCCTAATACCGACATTAGGATTAAATCCGAAGACATAGTGCCCCTTCTGAAGCGTTCGAAGAGGCCGGCCAGCTGGGCGCTGCAGACTTGTGGGTACCTCGAAAAATTCACACTCTACCTTTCTAGCCTCCTTCCAACTCCTTCCCGAAGGTCGTGCTGAAATGTCAGAAAAGTCTTGACAGAGCGTGATTGCTGTATGGTAGCTTAGCCCAGCTTCTTTTGTGCCGTCCAGAGCGCTGGGGAGTGCCGTTGACTTATCGACAAAAGAAGCCCTCCTGGCTAATTAGCCAAACTCTCGGTCTTGACGCCCGCAAAAAATCCAAAGTTGAAAACTCCTCGAAAATATCGGTCCCAGCATGGTCTTCAGAGACCTGTTCCCCCTCTCGCTTCACCTCTCAGCTGCCTGTCCTTCCTCAAGATGTATAGCCCCATTAAAGCAATGGTCCCCCATAAGACATGACCAGAGCTTCATTGTGACTTAATTTCCTCCTTACGGGTTTACGTAGCGTCGTAAATCCGATAGTGGATGATGGCAGCTGATTAGTGAGGCAAGCTCCTGTCTGCAGTTGAAGTAAAGCAATCATCGGTCCACGAGTCGAAGTGGTGTGGTAATATTAGGGTAAAGGACTTCCGTGGGATGACAAGACCAACATTGATGAGTAGTCGTCGATTATAGATATGTCTGTGTTTGCTTACGGCTTCGATTCGGATACGATTCTTCCTGGCTATCCCAGATATTTAGAGCCTGCTGGGCGATTACACCGGCAACACTGGGAGATGAAGAGCGCGTCTTTGCCGGCACTGCATGTATTGGATGGCAATCCTCCTTTTCTGCCTTAGTGATTTTGTTATGATATGAGACAACGAGGTAGTCGAGGCTAGGGCATTGCGTGTGGCTCAAGGCCACAGCATACATCACTAGTGTACTGGTTAGGCGAGCATGTATATAGTTTCATAGATGTACCCACAATAAATGGACACAGGTTTAGTCTTATACTTTCTGTCCTTTTTTTTTTTTTTTTGCATCAGATTTTAATTGCGTATGCAGCTATCTAGCTATGACACAATATCAGAGAAAAGTACAGAGTAGATGATTCAACGTAAAGGAAGAGCACTCATGCCTCGGATTTCATTTGCAAGTACCACTGCGAAGTTATGGTGGCTTTTTCTTCACCCCAAGTCAACCCTCATCCGTGAATACCCACCCAGGGGAACGTCTCAAAAACCTTGAGTTATCCAGACATGCCTCCATCATCCATCAACTTTTCTCCGCGCGAGATGTAATCTGAGATGTCTCCTTCCCAAGTGGAGTAGGTGCCCAGGCTACTCAAACCATACCAGAGAACACCACCAGGAGGCGGACCACAACACCTTCCATCGATGGCTTGTGTTTATAGTGTCAGCTGCACTCTCGCAAGCGAAGTCTTGGCGCGCACAAAGCTCAATTCTTAAAACTCTTTCCAAAATTCGAAATTTCACGCCCGTCGAGAATGTATCCATCTTCTGCATCATCTTGTAAACTTGTCCTGATCCCTCTCACGTCCGTCACAAAGAGCTATCTCCCAAAATTGTGCTCCACGCTTTGCTTCCTCCGTCGGGTGTAAATATCGGCGTGGGCGTGTATTTGGTGACCGGCTGAGGCCAGAGAAAGTCGACGAGAGGTGTGGTCATTGAAATGAGGATGTACTAGGTCGTACTTGTAGACTTGATGAAGTTTAGTTGAGAATCGGACTCTTTGGGAGTGAAAGATTGACATGGTGGAGTGATTTTGAATTTTTGCCTCGTGGGCCAACTTCTTTGATATTGCGGAATTTGACTGAACTTGGCTCTGGGAGAATATTTCATTCCCAGGTTCGTAGAGAGCACCACTGACAGGTGTTCAGTCTTGCCCTCCATACTTTCTGTCCATATACCTACAGCATAGTATTGTATGAGGCTACTCACTGTCAACCACAAATTATAACATCATCCACTCCTCATCACTCCGCAATGTGACTTCCGCATAGCTCATAACCTCAACAGATTTGCCTTCCAAGCTTAGACCAAGCAGATTTGATTGTATTTGAGGCCCCACGTATACTAGCTTATTGACGCAGAGGGAAATTCATTATTAGGACAAGTTTGAGTGCTATATATTGGCTAGTATCACTGCCTTCGCTTGCCATAAAAACTTTAGACCTTTCCTCAACAATGTATACTCACAAGGTGAGACCCCAAAAAACTGCCTGTATCATCTGGACATCGTACACCGCTATTTTCTTGAGCGTATTTATTCATAGTAACTAGAGAAAAAATACTAAATACATCATTATCAATGCTTTGTGCATCGACGTTTTGCCTGCTTAGTAGTTCTACATGATATTTCTTAAAAACTGGATCTGGCAAGTATTCAAGATGAATCAACTACGTTGCTAAATATCAAGATTAAATTATCAAAAACATATTTTGATAGCCTTTTATAATTTCCAGTTGATATATTTTCATCCGAACCGAGATCTTTAAATGGTCTTATTCAAGTCGCCGGTTTTGGAGACAAAAAGACTAACCAAGTGTCATTAGAAAACGGTTCATCTTGGACGTTAGCACCAGTCTCTCACAACTTATTTTGACATTGCACCTGTTGGTTTTCCAGATTTCAGCTTCCTAGTTTCTATGTCTTCATATTTCAGGAAGTTGTATTGAACGTTTTCAGTAGATCTCATTTGTTTCCAGAAGATTCTTGATTTGATAAATAGACAGTTTCGGAATTGTGTAGTAAATTTCTCTTTCTCGACAGTCTAAAGAGAATTAAATTCGAGAGCAAAGTAGCGTGGAGATTGAACCTGTGATGTAAGGAATGCAACTGCTTGTGTTTTAGGCCTGATTTTTTGATTCAATAGATTGGCTTTATTTAGGATCATCCCGGCCCATTTGCCTCAAATGTGGATTCGCATCTTGCTTTAAGCTTATAGATTCTTCTAGGCAAGCTCATCTTTTTCTAAAAAGCTCGGGTCTCTCTTGACTTTTGCCTCAAATTTTCGCCACCATTCCTCAAATGCCTTCAGTGGTACAAGTTCTCCTCTAATGTCACTTGAACTGAAACTTGTCAAGTAGTTGAATGCATCTTTAATTATCCTTTGCGCCAGCAGTAATGTATCTGGCTTTGGTTTTTCCGCTAATACTAATGCCTGACTAGCTGTTCCGGAAGTTGGGACAGTAGGATTAAGCTTTGATATGCTACTATCTTGAAGGGTAGCCATCTGAGCCGCTACAGCTTCAGTAGATTCAATGCTTATTCCTATGGTGAGTATTCCAGCAGAGGATGTGTCTGGTAATATCTTTGCTGCGACTTCCTCGGGTGCATCCATATCTACCTCTATTTCAGCAATAGACGTCACGGTTGAATTGGCTGTGACGCCATAAGTCGACGGATTTTGGGTTTCGTGTAGTCCTGACACACGAAAAACAGCAGATTCTTTGTTGAGTCCAATGGCTCCGAGGAAACGAAACACGGTAGGAGTCTGTGGAAGTGCGAGGTACACTGCAGCAGCTGTTGATGGTGGAAGAGTAATACCTGGGAGCAGAAAAATGGTCAAGTGGCTGAAAGGCTTGGCTGGCAATGGCAGTATCGGGATGGTGTAGATGTAACTTGTGGGAGAGACGACGCTGCTAGGGGCGATTATAAGCGGCATACCTGTGGGAACCTTGAAATTTTAGTTGCGCCATTCGAACGCGGTGGTAGATGAGTCGACATAGTTTTATCGGAGGGAACATACGATACCAAATAGCTGGGGAATTGTAGGAGGTGGTTCCATTTTGAATTCAGATGTATGTGTAGACACGATGAAAAAGTAGAAAATAATCGAATATGTCTAGGTAGCCACTGAGTATATTAAAATTGAATAGGTATATTGAAAAGGAAGTTGCTGTTACCTAGAGAGTTTTCTGAACAAAAGTGGAGCTACCTCAGCCAGATTAGTGCCGGGCAAATATGGGAAAACCTCCGTACGACATCCATTTCGACTTTGTAAGAATCTAGTAACTATAATTATGGTGTCATACACGTTTCTCGATTACGTCAATGGATGCGATGCGTAAGTGAGCCATTTTATGTACAGCTTTGTGAGATGCACATTCTGATAAACAAAAAACCTTAAGGTTTCCATATCCTAACACCCCTACATATGACGCGTTCCTATCTATACACTATATTCTTCTTTGGAATGACACACCTATTGGCTATGTAACGGACAGTGTAATTCAAGCCCTCGGCTCATTGCCTATTACCCTTAAAGAATCCATTGATCTCTCGATTGACCACCATAACCACCAACTCTCAATCCTTCAAAAATTGCAAACCACCAATTCTCGAACTGCCGCAGTCGCTGCTCTTTGTGATTACTGGAGGCGATCTCATACTTTTGAAGTTCTCTCGGGCTGGCGAGACGAGCTTTACCCTGTGTATGGGCCTGGAAACGAAATTTTGTGGAGTGTAGAGCGAAGCGCCAGTTCACTTTTTGGCATAGTCTCATACGGCGTTCATATGACGGCATACACGATTGACAAAAATTCTGACTACGGAATAAAGATATGGGTGCCCCGAAGGGCCATGCGCAAGCAAACCTTTGGAGGGATGTTAGATAATACTGTCGCGGGTGGAATTGCAACAGGAGAACCACCCTTTGAGAGTTTGGTCCGAGAGGCAAATGAAGAGGCAGGCTTAGAAGAAGGGTTAGTCAGGCAGCACGCAAAAGCTTCGGGAACGGTGAGCTACATATATATTCGAGACGCGAGGGCTGGAGGTGAAGTAGGACTGATACAACCCGAATGTCAATATGTTTATGACATAGAGCTTCCCGGAAAAGTTATTCCAGTGCCGGTTGACGGTGAGGTAGAGCAGTTTTATTTGTGGAGTGTAGCTGAGGTCCAGGCAGCACTGACAAGAGGCGAATTTAAACCCAACTGTGCACTAGTGATGCTGGATTTCTTTCTGAGATGGTCTATCTTGACACAGGATAACGAAACTTGTAGTGAGATCAGGCGGCGAATCCATCGAAAGCTTGAGTTTCCTGGTCCACATCAGTTAATTTCAAGCACTAAATGAGTCAGTCAAACATAGGAGGCAGCTTATTTTCTTACGTTAGTTATCACGACGCCTATGTAGGGAGTTCAAAGGCTATGGTCATATTCCCTGTGCATAGTTCCGTGTTCAATCCTCGAGTTCGATGTCGTGCGTAGAAATGATAGACGTTGATGCAGGTGCCAATTTTAGCCTTCTTGCATCTCTGAAGAGGACTACTTCAAAGATCAATGGCTACTGTTTAAAATGGAGGATATACCATACTGAGAAAAGTGAAGCTCTTTGTTAGACCATATATCAAGCTATCAGTCTACGCCCTGTAATCGAAGTATCTTGTATGTCTCACTCTATCTGTGAAACGTTAAGTCATATTCAGGCATTCAAGATGGTGCCTCGTCTTGTTTCATTGTTTTACAATCATGGGCTTATTGTTTTTGCGGTTGTTTTGAAACTGTTATCTCCGCATAACGAAACAGAGTTAGCGTTTGAACGTCGCTCTGGATGTTTCGGATTGAACTGAGGTGGAAGTTGGATCAAATATGATCATTAAATATATAGAAGAGGTTCTGACCTTTAAAAAAGATAGACAGATTTTTATTTTACCAAATGCAAACCTCATTTTTCCTAAAAAGTCTAATACTATCCGATTTTCTTTTATCTTCATTTACCATAAGCTTCTATTCAAGAGAAGAACACATCCAACCTTTCAAGCATCTGATAGCTTGGAACCTACTGAATATGGTGATGAGAATCATAGGATATTGGGATGACACATCTTCTCGGATTGACTTACCCGAGCTTTGATATCTCACCAGGGTCATGGTGATTAGGGTGTTCAAGATGTTTGGGATGTTCAGGATTTTTAAAGCTCCAGCTTAAGATCTTTTGACCTCCAACACATGTAATATATTTCATATGTAATTTTGGGAAACGAGAAGATATTCTCCCTGGAAATAGTTTCAGATGGATATATAGCATCAAGGCCGGAGAGGAGTTGAAGAGCAGAGATTTCATCAATTCAAGATTACTTTACATTTTTCATTTGACCCCCAGTGTCTAACAATACCTGCTACACGTGTGAATTGTTAACAATTTTGGTAAAACCGCCTTTCATTTTCGAAAACAAAGCGATTTGATTCCTCAGGGATAATATTTGATTTGATGGGACTAATGTTTTAGATACATACCTGGAATACAAAAGACATGAAACTTATAGTCAATCATGAGAAGATGCAGTACTGGCTATCCGAAATATTCTTCAAAATTTCAAATTTGAACAAGCTGGAGAACAATGACTGAATATCTATCCGTCGTGCCCTCTGTGGAACTGGGAGTAAAATACTCTCCCAGAGCCAAATTTAGTCACAGCTCGCAATGCCAAAGAATATGGCCCTCGAGGCAATGATCAAAGAACCTCCATCAAATCAATCTTTCCCTCCTAGCTAGAATGGTTTCCAACAGAACCTGTTCAAGTTTTCAAGTGAGGCCTCGTACATGCTCATTTCAATGGCCGTACCCTTGTTCAGTTTAGTCACTGGGCTTAGCAAGCATCCAATATACACTCACCGGAATCTGAATACCTGTCGGAGGACATGAATTGTGGTGCAGAAATCTTTGAGACAGATGTGGACATATGGGCAGTGTAATAGCCATGTCATAGCTAGCTAGCTACGTGCGCGATTCAAATCTGATGCAAAAAAAAGAATGGGGCACAATTGGAATAAACTTTTTCAAAATTTGTAATTTCTCTTTCTATAAGTTTACATTAAGTGCAAATTCTCTCTGCCTACAAGCTAATCAATTACTCTTCTAAATTTCCCCTTACACATGAGGCAGGGAAAGCGCTCCACAAGATTCAGGGTAGAGGCTAGTGATTACCCAGGTAGCAAAGGCATAGAAACGGAAAGGGTAAATAAGATGATAAGTCTTCTCACGGAGGAGGCGTACAGACAAGCACTTGCGGAGAACATTAAATACCGGTCTCACTAATGAAAAGCTGTACGATTAGGTGGACGTGCCCACTAAGAGGTTCCGATTAACCAAAGTGTTGAGTAATTAAGACGATACGTGAGCCAGCAAAGACGATTTCTTCATCTTCCCACAGTTCCGTTGTAACCAACCACTTTGCTGTGCATATCTGGGATAGCCAAAGAGTTTCGCGCTGGAGCACAGCGCAAGGGGAAGCCTGGATCAGATGGGGGCCGAATGCACTAAATGGTGGTCACAGCCAAAGGTAAACGGGTGAAACTGAGGCGGTGCAAATATTTATTCACACTAAAGATCTGTACACCTTTAGCTTTGAAATAAATACACCCCATGTGAAGCTTTCCTCGAGAATGAACCATCCTTTTTAAACCCTCTTTTTTAAACCCTTAACTAATTGGAAGAGAGTGCAATATGCACGTCGCAAGGGCGAAGCGACCCTATGCAAAGAAGCTTCTACCAAGGGTCAAGACAGGTGTGTGCGTCAGATACACCAAGGTTGATCATCAACGTCAAGTACTTGTCCGAAAGAAACTGATAGTTTTTTTTGAATTGTTTAGGTCCTTTGCTAATACTCTAAGTCCACTTTGGGTACAGGACATGTGGAGCCGGCGAGGATCACTGCGTACAGGCTCGACTCGTGGTGTCCCCTACGAACCTTCAGCTCTCACTGTAGAGTCTGCAGAGCCGAGATTGAGTAACAAAGTCCTCACTTCGAAGAGGATTCCCAATCGCTTTCACCGTCTGTGTCGTCTTCATCTCTCAACACATTCCCCCATCACCATTATCATGATGCTAACTACAATCAGATCAGATGGTAGGGTCGGAGCCCTACTCATCACCAACCCTTGATCATGGAGGAAAAGCTATCCCATGAGTTTCCGGAGCGTACCCAGCACCCGATACGGAGATGGCGGATTGGATCAAGTCGGCCTCGACTGTCACAAAGAAGGGGGACGTATATGAATATGTTCATCTTAAGTGGTCCCGGTGTCTAGGCCTCGCCTGGCTGGGGCTGCAGGTCTTTTGAGACTTTTTCCTGCGCACGCAGTTTCCATTGCTACCATTTTAATTTTTTTTGGGTAGAAGGCTCCGTGGAAAAGGTGGCTGAATTCCACGGGTAAATACTGAGCTGAATGGCTATTCATCAAGGGGAATATATCAATGATCTTACAAGTAACAAAAGAGGATAGGAGCACTGTACAAGGTGTGACCTGTGTTAGAGAGGAGCCCAATGTGCTAGATAGTCATAGACTCAAGTAGCACAATAAACACACACACACAGGCCCAACTCATTCCAACCGCCGGAACCTCAAACAAAAGGATAAAGTTAACAACAAAACTGTATTAAAAAACTAATAGCCAAAGCCTGAAATCTAATTTAGAAGAATTTCCGTTCTGGTCCGGATCCCGCGCCTCTCGCCCGTTCCATTTCCTGTCACATCTTCCAAGTGACTTTTCCTAATCTCCGCTAAATTAAAAAAATGAGTTTGCAGATAGCCTGAATTCAGCCAGTATCCTGCTCTATGATGTTGAAGTTGTCCTAGACTTCACCGAGGGTTGCTGTACCCTCAAACTTCTTCGGATTCCAGCACTCCGAAACCTGATCCCTCTGCCGTCGAGACATCCTTCGCCGCGGTGACGATCGCCTCTTCGGCCTTTTTGGCTGCAGCTCTAGCTCGAGTCACCTTTGAGAACTTTCCTTGCTCGAGGTGGCGAATCCACGCGAGCTGCTTTTTTGTCACCGGTCCATACTTTCTAGGTCTGACTTGGAAGTTCCGAGAATCCGATCGGTGAGGTCCCCCACAATTGCGACACTTAGTGAGGGCCTTGCACACTGCTTCCGAGTGCATGTTTGATTCGCAGTTCTAGCAAGCCGGAGCGCGGGAGCAACCGCGGGTGGCATGAAAGATAAGGCTGCACTTGCATTGTTCGCGTGTTTGACGAGGTCGGAAAAGCTTCGCAGCTCCAGAGTCGTCGAAGATACGGAATCTAGATTGAGGCGTGGAGCCCTGAGAGAAGAGCGCTTGCCAGTTCTTGTTAAACACTAGGGGACAAATGAAAAATGTAAAGTAAGCTTCAATTGATGAAATCTCTGCTCCTCAACTCCTCTCTAGCATTGATGCTATATATTCATCTGAAACTATTTCCAGGGAGAATATCTTCTCGTTTCCCAGAATACATATGAAATATATTACATGTGTTGGAGATCAAAAGATCTTCAGCTGGAGCTTTAAAAATCCTGAACATCCCAAACATCTTGAACACCCTAATCACCATGACCCTGGTGAGATATCAAAGCTCGGGTAAGTCAATCCGAGAAGATGTGTCATCCCAATATCCTATGATTCTCATTATTTAATTCAGTAGACTCCAAGCTATCAGATGTTTGACACATGGGACCTCCGGATATTCAACAGAGCTTCGACGCCTTCAATACTCGCTTTCCTGTTGACTTTGACTTGATGATGTCGGTGAGCTAGGAATGCACGGATTGGCGTCACTAGATTCAGCTGGACTCTTATAGGACTCAGGAACTGTCGTCTGAGAGGTGTCATGCTGTAATTCTATTCTTGGAAACTTAGGAGGGACTGTTGGTGACTGAGAATTTGGTCCCATATATTGATCCTCCATAGATTCTGTTGGCAAATATGATTGACTCTCCCCCTAAAACTCCTGAGGTGCTTGATGTATATGAGATGAAGGTGATTGAGGAGATGTTTTGGGTAATTCTACTGAAGAAACCTCGGAGCAAATTGAATCCGCCCTAGTCCAATAGCTAGTCGTTTTTTAATGACGAATTAAATTTAATTTATCACCAAAAAAACATCTTCATTGAAGGTAACGTGAGGAGTACAGCTTTCGATCCATTTCCAACCATGAGTTGGCGCCCAACGAGGGTAGTAAACAAGAAAGGTTTTATTCGTATTCATTTGAAACCCAACGAGCTAGCCCATCTCGGCTCGCGGATCAAATTTCCCCGATTTCGAGTCAATGAACTTGTACGCTCTACACCAAAATCGGGGAAGATTGGTGAAGTT